GTATTGTGAGAAAGGGAGGAAAGTACCTCTTTCTTTACCTGCTCTTTTCCATGCATAATCTTGTAAACCTCGATCATGTCACCCCTCAGTCGTCTTTTCTCCAAGCTAAAGAGCCCTAAGCGCTTTAACCTTTCCTCATAGGGAAAGTGTTCCAACCCTTTTATCATTACTTAATTTCTGTTATTGTATATTATGATTTATGAATTTATTACTAAGCGCTAAATTGTCACAGTTCTTTTTCTTTTTTCATTGGTCGAATCAACTTGTACCATGGCCACCTGAGAATCATATAGTTCAACAGTTTCAACTCCCCAATCACACTGACAAAGTCTCTGGTCGAAAGGTATCTTCCTGTATCTCCCCTCCGGGACAGCCGAGGGAAGGGCCGAGCATCTAGCTAAGGAGAAAGCTTTTCTCATCAGTTTCCAAGATCTGATGAGACGGGGCTAGCCCGGGGCCATCCGGATCCGGGCAGAGGTCCTAAGCAGTGCTCCCTCTAAGCTGCGGAGTCTTGTGAGCAAAAATTCTACCTCGTGAGCACCAGGTATTAAAGTTGTGAGTGAGCGATTTGGCTACTGCATACATTAGTTTGCCCTGGACCCAGCCATCCGGGTCCGGGCAGAGGTCCTAAGCAGTGCTCCCTCTAAGCTGCGGAGTCTTGTGAGCAAAAATTCTACCTCGTGAGCACCTGGTATTAAAGTTGTGAGTGAGCGATTTGGCTACTGCATACATTAGTTTGCCCTGGACCCAGCCATCCGGGTCCGGGCAGAGGTCCTAAGCAGTGCTCCCTCTAAGCTGCGGAGTCTTGTGAGCAAAAATTCTACCTCGTGAGCACCTGGTATTAAAGTTGTGAGTGAGCGATTTGGCTACTGCATACATTAGTTTGCCCTGGACCCAGCCATCCGGGTCCGGGCAGAGGTCCTAAGCAGTGCTCCCTCTAAGCTGCGGAGTCTTGTGAGCAAAAATTCTACCTCGTGAGCACCTGGTATTAAAGTTGTGAGTGAGCGATTTGGCTACTGCATACATTAGTTTGCCCTGGACCCAGCCATCCGGGTCCGGGCAGAGGTCCTAAGCAGTGCTCCCTCTAAGCTGCGGAGTCTTGTGAGCAAAAATTCTACCTCGTGAGCACCTGGTATTAAAGTTGTGAGTGAGCGATTTGGCTACTGCATACATTAGTTTGCCCTGGACCCAGCCATCCGGGTCCGGGCAGAGGTCCTAAGCAGTGCTCCCTCTAAGCTGCGGAGTCTTGTGAGCAAAAATTCTACCTCGTGAGCACCTGGTATTAAAGTTGTGAGTGAGCGATTTGGCTACTGCATACATTAGTTTGCCCTGGACCCAGCCATCCGGGTCCGGGCAGAGGTCCTAAGCAGTGCTCCCTCTAAGCTGCGGAGTCTTGTGAGCAAAAATTCTACCTCGTGAGCACCTGGTATTAAAGTTGTGAGTGAGCGATTTGGCTACTGCATACATTAGTTTGCCCTGGACCCAGCCATCCGGGTCCGGGCAGAGGTCCTAAGCAGTGCTCCCTCTAAGCTGCGGAGTCTTGTGAGCAAAAATTCTACCTCGTGAGCACCTGGTATTAAAGTTGTGAGTGAGCGATTTGGCTACTGCATACATTAGTTTGCCCTGGACCCAGCCATCCGGGTCCGGGCAGAGGTCCTAAGCAGTGCTCCCTCTAAGCTGCGGAGTCTTGTGAGCAAAAATTCTACCTCGTGAGCACCTGGTATTAAAGTTGTGAGTGAGCGATTTGGCTACTGCATACATTAGTTTGCCCTGGACCCAGCCATCCGGGTCCGGGCAGAGGTCCTAAGCAGTGCTCCCTCTAAGCTGCGGAGTCTTGTGAGCAAAAATTCTACCTCGTGAGCACCTGGTATTAAAGTTGTGAGTGAGCGATTTGGCTACTGCATACATTAGTTTGCCCTGGACCCAGCCATCCGGGTCCGGGCAGAGGTCCTAAGCAGTGCTCCCTCTAAGCTGCGGAGTCTTGTGAGCAAAAATTCTACCTCGTGAGCACCTGGTATTAAAGTTGTGAGTGAGCGATTTGGCTACTGCATACATTAGTTTGCCCTGGACCCAGCCATCCGGGTCCGGGCAGAGGTCCTAAGCAGTGCTCCCTCTAAGCTGCGGAGTCTTGTGAGCAAAAATTCTACCTCGTGAGCACCTGGTATTAAAGTTGTGAGTGAGCGATTTGGCTACTGCATACATTAGTTTGCCCTGGACCCAGCCATCCGGGTCCGGGCAGAGGTCCTAAGCAGTGCTCCCTCTAAGCTGCGGAGTCTTGTGAGCAAAAATTCTACCTCGTGAGCACCTGGTATTAAAGTTGTGAGTGAGCGATTTGGCTACTGCATACATTAGTTTGCCCTGGACCCAGCCATCCGGGTCCGGGCAGAGGTCCTAAGCAGTGCTCCCTCTAAGCTGCGGAGTCTTGTGAGCAAAAATTCTACCTCGTGAGCACCTGGTATTAAAGTTGTGAGTGAGCGATTTGGCTACTGCATACATTAGTTTGCCCTGGACCCAGCCATCCGGGTCCGGGCAGAGGTCCTAAGCAGTGCTCCCTCTAAGCTGCGGAGTCTTGTGAGCAAAAATTCTACCTCGTGAGCACCTGGTATTAAAGTTGTGAGTGAGCGATTTGGCTACTGCATACATTAGTTTGCCCTGGACCCAGCCATCCGGGTCCGGGCAGAGGTCCTAAGCAGTGCTCCCTCTAAGCTGCGGAGTCTTGTGAGCAAAAATTCTACCTCGTGAGCACCTGGTATTAAAGTTGTGAGTGAGCGATTTGGCTACTGCATACATTAGTTTGCCCTGGACCCAGCCATCCGGGTCCGGGCAGAGGTCCTAAGCAGTGCTCCCTCTAAGCTGCGGAGTCTTGTGAGCAAAAATTCTACCTCGTGAGCACCTGGTATTAAAGTTGTGAGTGAGCGATTTGGCTACTGCATACATTAGTTTGCCCTGGACCCAGCCATCCGGGTCCGGGCAGAGGTCCTAAGCAGTGCTCCCTCTAAGCTGCGGAGTCTTGTGAGCAAAAATTCTACCTCGTGAGCACCTGGTATTAAAGTTGTGAGTGAGCGATTTGGCTACTGCATACATTAGTTTGCCCTGGACCCAGCCATCCGGGTCTCTCTTGCGTCTGTCTTGCCAGCGGTGGGTTGGATCTCTTGCGTCTGTCTTGCTGTCAATGGGTTGGATCTCTTGCGTCTGTCTTGCTGTCAGTGGGTTGGATCTCTTGCGTCTGTTTTGCCGGCAGTCGGTTGGATCCCTTGCGTCTGTTCTGTCTCCCCCCCCCCCCTGCACTGCAAGGAACCTTCTGGAATTGGGAGAAGGATCCTTGCACCGGGGTGAGGCAGGAGAGTGCCACCGTTAGCAACATAAATCTGCAGGATTCAAACACCCCCCCCCCAAGATCTTTGCTAGTGGGATCTTCAGAGTTCGTCTTGTTGTTTAAGCTTCCTGATGTATATATGCAGGGCCGGCCCCTTTGGTTGGTGTCCTGGCAAAAACCATAATGGGGGAGGGGACGTTTTCCACAGAGCTTTCTACAGACCTTACAGCTGGAAAAAAGAAAATGCTGCTTTGGGTTTTGTTTTGTTCTTTTAGGAAGAGGAAGAACAGAAGACTTCGGAAACACTTCTTGTACTTTGCTCTCAGTATTGTTGCAAAGAGATGAATCGCTGTGAAAATGCAAAAATGTTAGGTGTGCGTTTGGCGTGACGGTGTTTAATACGGAAGACATCGGTTTGGATGTGGTCTTACAGAGTGAGTGTTTTGTAAT